CAGCCAAATTGTTTGTTTCGATTATATCCCCTATTTTAATAGGCACTCAGTCGTGTAGTTGAATTTCCCAAGTAAAACGTAATAACTTAAACACAACTCTGGTCTGCACTATATTTTGTGAATTTGCTTTATATTTTATGCGCTTACAAAAATGGATGTCCTCTAATAAATTTCAGCAAACTACTTGGTATATGATTGTATCGTATAAAGTAAGACAATTAATTCAATAACAGTTGTTTTTGTTTTATTGCCTTTGCCACTGGAATATGTCATTGTGGTAGTATGAATTATTCCATGTATTTTATAAAACATTAGTATTTATAATTAATTTCGTTTTATTACATACAAGTCGCGGTAATCGACTTTTATTAATCGACACCTGCCGCGTAGGTAGGAATCGTGATTTTCCTGCAATTTCAAAACTGCCTATGAATGAGACTTATGGAATAAACAAAATAAAAATGCCTCTTTTGCCCAGCTATAATGGATCGCAGCTAAGAAAACGTGTGTGCGAGTTCACTTATTGTGCGGTCGTGGCTCAATGACATCCATACAGCTCTATACTGCGGACAATGATTAATATTCCGTCTCGAAGTTCATTCACATTATTTACGTGGTACGCAATGTAATTCATATTCAGAAAATCACGTACGAGAATGAAATCGACAATATTATTGTCGTCAGCCACTGCTGTTAACGCGCGAGTACAATATATTAACAAACATATAATAACAACGAAATCGTTATTATCGTTTGCCAGGAAATACGCGTGATGCGTCCCTTCAATAAAAACCATTAACAGCCTTCGCAATAGAATATTATTATGAGACCTAAAGTACTGTGGGGCGGTGGTAAACTCTCCCGATTTTATGGTGAACTCTCCCGATTTTTCAAAATAGTAAACTCTCCCGGGTTAACATTATGTTTACCTGAAGTAAATGTGTAAGCTCTCCCGGATCAGTATTATGTTTACCTGAAGTAAATGTGTAAACTCTCCCGGGTCAAAATTATGTTTACCTGAAGTAAATGTGTAAACTCTCCCGGGTCAAATTTATAGTTACCTATAGGAAGTATGTAAGCTCTCCCGAGTTATTTTAAATGTTATTGCTACACTACCAGTTGGCTACACTGCAGAGATTGTGATTGACTATTTTTAATAGAAACTGAAATGTATATTGGATTTTTTGAAATTTTATTTTTTATTGTATTTTGACTATAATATCATGTTCATAGCAGCTAAAGACATTAATTTATATTGTTATTATTATTATTATTATTATTAT